TCCCAGAGACTTTGCTGCACCTGCTGGTTTTAAAGGTTGTAGTGTTGTGAAGCGGTGAAGCATTGGCACGATTTTCATCTTTGCAATCGTGGAAGTTTGAAGATTTGTGCTTCCCATACCGAATAACCTCAGAGAGACCAGGAATCGATCAATCACTGTGACCTCAATGGGAGGAGAGGTTGTGGTATGTGTCAAGAAAACAAAAAACACAAATCGGGGACCGCTTCAGATTCCCTCCTAAAAACAAAGAGGGGGAATATTATAAGTGGACCTTTAGTAACTGTAATCCCCTGCTGCGCACCTCCAAGTTTTACTGCTACCTCCCTCCATTCAGACATTCTTGCACAAATGGCTCCTCTTCAGAGGAGCACTTAAGTGGTAAGACACTACCACTTGTAAACTCAGAGACCTGACATGTACACAGTGCTAATGACCTCCAGGCAGCTGTAATTGTGATTGTTCACAGTTTGGGGCTGCCGTTTCGTTTTCAAAATTGCTTTAAGTCGGCCCTCCGGAAATTCGGTCCACCTCGTCTGAGCCGTGCAGCTCCACGGCACAAACATCAAACGCAACCACATTCTCGCTCGGTAAGTTTACAGGATTGAAAAACTCCAAAAAGTGTTACGGTTGTCAATCAGGGAAGTAAGGCCATTCGTTGCTATTGAAGCAATACTCTGAGATCAATCTGAAGAGTAGTCACATGTAAGCTAAAACTGAAAACCGCTTCTGGTGACGAGATTGTTTGGTTTCACTGCTTGTGGCAGATGGTTTACGCTGAAGGCATTTAAAGCCACTTGTAGTAATCCTGCAAATGTGAAACCTTTTTCCCTTTATCCCCCATATTTCATTGTTGTTCCGTGTGTCTGCACTTTTTGCTCGGACCCCCAGAAGCTATAGACTGAGCTGGCTGTTTCACTTAACACAGCGGACCACTTTAGTTTTAAGGTGAGTTCAGTTTTGGTTTGGGCTGGAAACCACAATGAAACCAAAGCACGCTAAAAACTCTCAATGCAAGGCTCTAAACCAAAGCTGTTGCTTATTTGAGCCTTTTTATGCAAGGACACAGGATACATACCATTATGTTTATGGACAGTCTAATTTAGGTATCTCACCAGCACATGATCTTAGTTACCTTTTTCGAGATTTTTAGCTCTGTTGTTAACGACCTTTTTCCTTGTACCATTCCTTTTTGCTTCACTTTTTCCATTTGTTTGATCCTTTCCATCTTTAGGCTTACAGTAGGACTTCTCCTCATCCTGTGGCACGCTTTAATCCTCTGATTCAAGATCCCTTTTTTTTTTTTTTTTTTTTTCTTCTTTAATGGTTTATGTAATTGTGATTTTTCCAGCAGCTTTGAAATCACAAAACAAATACACTTAGCCTTTGTAAGGCTTCAGCTCAAGCTGACAAGTTACCTGTACTCTGCCATCTACTTTAATCGTACATGCTTTTGTTTGTGGTTTCCGAGGAATCAATAATAGTCCTTTTCTAATCTCAACAGCCTTACTGCTCTGTTGGTACATCCTCTTCATCCTCAGCACAGAAAAATCAGTATTGCACAGATATTATCGCAACATCACTGCATTGATATAGTGCTGGGGATTGTCTCACACAGTGCATACATTTAGAACTGCATTTCCAGCTCTCTGCACTGTGTGGTAAACAATGTTTATAATTAGCTCTCAAGAAATGCCATGAATGTTGGCTGTAGTGGACAAATGTGTGTAATTCAGAGTTTGAGGTTAAGCCAGCCCGAGCTGTATGCTGTGCTTTGATGTAGCTGTATAAGCAAGTGTAAGCTTGCTGTTCCTGTTATTTGGAGAATTGTTGAATCTGTGAACTCATCATTTCTGCTCATCTGCGCTCAGTTCAGGCTCGTTATGCTTTGAGATCCACCTTCTGACAAGACGGCAAGGAGTTGTATCATCTTTTCCTCAACACGGTTGACTGGCACTAAGCTGATTTTTAAGTTTTTGTAACTAAGTAATGTTGACCCCCTCTAGGATCTATCTCCTTGCATTGCAAATAATTAACTCACCCAGTTCAGGTTTGTTTTAACAGGTGCTTTATTGGAGCGCACTGCCTTGTGCACACACTTAAATCTAATAATCTAAACCAATTTAACCATAAAGCTGTCACAGGAGAACGGAAACAGTCATTTCCTCTTTGAACACAGCTCAGTGACAGCCCAGCCAGCCAATGCAGTACACGTGTGTTCACCTTTGAGCATGTGTGCGTCCGTCATTAGCAAGTGGTGTGAAAGACTCTTTCCGTAGCTTCCTATCGTGTCTAGGGCAAAGTTACAGCGCTTTGTTTTGAGAAACAAATGCGTGCTCACACAGAGGTTAGCAGTTAGTCCACAGTGGGAGCCACATCCTGTTCCCTTAAGGCTATTTGTAGGAGCTTTAAGTACAGATTGTACGCTACTCATCGCTGGAAGTGCAGCCTTTTCAGTGCTGCTTTAAAGCAGTTTCTTTTACTCTTTATTTACTGGATACCTATCTTATGTCATTTTGATGTTCATTGTTCTTTGCTGTGTGTTTAACCTTCAATGACACATCCAAAACAGGGCTTATTGTTTGAAAGTGAAGTTCTTTCTCATTCTGCTCAGCGGTTTGTCGTCCTTCTCGCATATGTTTCATTTGTAATGTATCAAATGTTTCCAGTGGGTGGCAGGTGTTTACTGCACGCTAGCTAGTTAAGCACCAAGATTATTTTGCTACAAAGCCATATTAATGTAGTACATGCAGGATGTGGTTTGGTAAACTGTATATAATGTTCAAGCCCTAAATGTGCCTCTGTAGAAGCGCAAGTTGGCCATAAAAATAGATCAGTTTTCCACTTCCCCTTAATTCACCTTAAATTATCTCTCAGGTACAAGGAAGTCTGTGGAATTAATAATTTTCTTTTGGTATTTTAACATTTATTTCCTGCTCCTGTGAGGTGTTCCTGAGCCTGTGCGTTGACTCTGTACAGAACTGTCTGGTTTTAATGCAGTGCAGCCCGAGGCTGAACATCACAGCCATTCATGACTTGTTTTCAGTCTTGTTCTTGTGCACAGGAATGCCACTGAATTCTCTGAATATTTTTTTATGATCACTAAAACATTTGTAGTTTTATGTTTTGTTTTGTTGTTTTTGTTTTTTTCTAAACCATTTGCTCACCAAGTTTTCACAGCATTTTGAAATCCACCATATCTTTCCTTCTCAAAGTTTGGGATCAAGTAAATCATTGCTGTCTGTTTTTTGTTTACATGTTACAAAGTGTTACAGCGTTTTGGAAAACAGGGTTGTGAGCAGCTTCCCACATTCCTGAACTCATAAACATACCCACCGTTCCCATCCTTCCTAACAATCCCAAATCCTTACATACTAATTGCTCATACATTTCTCAAAACCACCTGTACTTGTCTGATCTTCAAAGAGATCCCCACCCTGTGACATTTGTGTGTGTGTGTGTGTGTGTGTGTGTGTGTGTGTGTGTGTGTTGTGTCATTAGCTGCTCTCCTTCCTAGAATAAAGAAAAAAAATGCATCACTCTTTATTCAGCATACACAGACCTGCACACATCCAAACAGCTCGGCTAAATAGATTTCTGGCAAACACAAGCTGTGTTGACAGGAGAGATGAGCTGCTGTTCCTGTCGCGGCTTGCCGAGGGCACAGAGCTGGGCCTGCGTTCAAAAAGAGCCGCCACTGTTGAACCCACAAAGCCATCAGACTTGTTGCTACTGCCTCTGCCAACACACACACACACACACACACACACACACACACACACACACACACACACACACACACACACACATTGCTGTATCAAAGGCAGCCAGGCGAGTGTTTGACTGTTTGAACAGGTGATTCACATTGGCTTCATGGATCTGAGGAGACAAGTCAATCACACACTGTTAATTTGTTACTTGTTAATTTAGTGTAACATTTGAATTGAATGCAGTAAAGGAAGCTAGGACTCAGGATTCACTTGCATTATGTATAAACTTCTCCAAGGGGGAGCTTTTTGTCTGTCTCAGTTTATTAATATCAGTCGGCTGTTCTGGAAGGACCAAGTTGGGCAAGTGCCTTTCATTAGAGTTGCATAATTTTATTCAGGTGGTGTTACTAGCATGTCTGACGGGTTGTGCTTGCGACTGATGAAGATTGCCTTGTGTAAAAAGACCCGAGGTCTCTCGGAACACCCTCGGGTCAAGGTGTGATTTTGTGATTTTCTTTCTAATGCAATATTTACCCAGAGATGTTGAGTATGGATAGGTTCCCAGCAGGGTGTCTGACTTCAGACAAAAGTGGGTCTACAAAAGATTTTTTGTCAAAATCAATTATTTCACTAATATTGATATTTCCAGAAGCCTGAGAAAATTGTAGGAAACAGAAAGTCTCCGCACGGTAATGGAGCAGTTTTGCTCCAGAGTCGGTGCATATTAACACGGCAGCACTATTATCAGCACCTATAATCATTCTCCTTATTTGGTGTTCACTTAGATTATGAAGTATTCTTTCTCAGAAGGAAAATGGCACTAAAGCCTTAAAGGTTCAACTGTGTGTCGCACTATTGTCTTATCTAAATCTTCTAAAACTTTGATGAGGACTTTAGTGCAGCCTCTCGTTACCACTCTAGGGCAACTGCATCTCTCACAAACTGCTAGACTTTCCTTCTGATGGGTCAAAATTGCTGGTGTCCTGCAAACAGCAACCCCCAACCTCCCCTTCATTCATTAAAGGTCCAGAAGTAATTTCCCCAATCAGTGGTAGACGGAGCCTGGCTTCTGGTTTGCTTCTTTGTTTAAGGAGGATAATCTTTTGTTGATGTTTGGTTGGTAAATTTTAGTTGCCTATCACCAATGCCATCAATTGAAACCTTTAGTTGTTGTTTTTTGTTTTTTCCCATTTGTGCCTCTGTGACATGTCTCTAATCTGACAGTGTAAAATAAATTCTTTACCATACACAAACTGACCTTTTTCTGCTGTCCTCCATCTTTTTACTTTTCAGAGGGGCACAGATGGCTTTTGGAAGTCTGTGGCTCAGTCTGTGCCTCGGGAGCCGACAGAGATGAGAATCCTCAACCCCTACTTCATCCAGGAGGCTGCCTTCCAGTTCATTGGCCTGCCATTCAACAATGGCCTAATGGGCAAAGGAGTAAGTAACAGTGGAACTTTACTTTTGTTTTAAACCTTCACTGTAGGTATGTTGTAACTGCACACCCTTCTTAAAAAAAAAAAAAAAAAAAAAAAAACCTGCACTGTGTCCAGTGGTGTAACCTGATGTGCACCCCCCTTGAAATGTAACTGTGCAGTCCAGACAAGGATAAATGCTGGCAACGGCGTCGGCCAGTTACGTAGGCTACATCAGATATCGACTTTGTATGCATAGATGAGACGTTCATCTGTTTTTGTAAGAGAATGAGAGCTCGATATCCAGAAAGAATGGGGAGGGGATTGGACTGTGTTTCCAAATGAAATGCAGAATAATTACAGTCCCACTCGTCTGCGCCCTGCTTACACAAGAGTCTTTTTCCTTTTTCTTTTTTAAGTAACTAATTGAAGAAAATATACACATGTTATATAATCTGCTGATTCTGGAGCCATTTAGGGGCTTATTTTGCTGTAAGTTATGAGCAGAGTTCATTCTTGGAACAGGAGCTGCGATTAGGGAGCCACGGATCTAAAGCGTTCCGATCTTTCACTGCATTTTACTTCGGTACATTAAAAACTAGTGAATACTCGCTGTAACCCGGCGCCAGGGTGGATCCCTCTGCCGTGTCATCCCTTTAACCAGAGAATATTTTGTTTAAGAAGTAAAGTGATGAAATTTAAATTGGTGGCTATCAAATCGATTGCAGAGCAGAAAAATTACAAACTAAACATCAGACTGTTTGAAATTAAATACTGGTGTGCAAGTGTATATAGTGTGTGTGTGTGTATGTGTCTGTGTACACTTGGCAAGTAAAGGGGGGATAGGGGGAATTGGAGGGGACATGAGGAGTGTATCACCCTAACACCACCCTCTGGGGGCCACCAAGAACACCCCTGCATGAACTCAGCTCTGCAACATGTGTTGAACATGTGGGCATCACATTATATATGTGTGTGTTTGTGCGTAAGAGAGCGAGTGCATGATGATCTGTGTGCACGTTTGTGTTTGTGTCTGGGTGTTTGCAGGGCTGTCTGGCTGCAGAGTTGTATGATTTGGCACATTCTTTCCCTAGAAACACTTTACCGTTTCTCCTCTGACCATCACAGTATATGTTTATGTACATGGAAATTAATGAGGAGGACTATTTGTTATACTGGTGTTTATGTTGAGTGTGTGTGGCTGCATGTGTGTAAAATAATCTCTTATTAGAACATGCAGTGGGGGGTTGGCCAGCTGCTGGTTCAGCTCCACCTACCCTGAGGGCTGCAAATCAGGGTAATGATTTAAATAGGGCCTCCCTCCCTCTGCTTTCTTCTGCACCCTGCATTTCTCCCCCCCCCCCCCCCCCCCCCCCCCCACACACACACACACACACCCTCTGTTGTTCTGCAACATCCTCACACACAATCAAACACACAGAGGCCCTTTTACCTACCCCCCCAAATCCCAGATCTCTGGCACCCCAGGGCGGTTAGGAAGCACAGCTTCAACCCTGTAGCTCAGCGTGTCGTAGCAGGGGTTTACAGGCATCACATCTCAAAGGTAATAGTTAATCACCAAGTGTTCAGAGTCAGTTAGCAGCAGTGAAGTAGAACAAAGACAGAAGTACCGAAGACGGAGGGAGGGAAGCAGATACGAGAGTGGTAGAATACATCTGTGTCAGATGCAATGAGAAAATTATAATAATAATTGGGTAGATTTTCTTTTGTCATACCTGTTTTTCATTTTAATAGTGTGTGTGTGTGTGTGTGTGTGTGTGTGTGTTTGTGTGTGTGTGTGTGTGTGTGTGTGTGTGTGTGTGTGTGTGTGTGTGTGTGTGTGTGTGTGTGTGTGTGTGTGTTGCCCACACCTGTGTTTCTGCCACAGAACATTCCAACTTTGGGGACTGTTGCTATAACAATGGCACTGCACAACTGCGACGAGGTGGCGGTGGCTGGTTTTGGTTACGACATGAACAAGCCCTACGCACCTCTGCACTACTACGAGTCTGTCAAGATGTCCGCCATTAAAGAGGTGAGCGTTCGCACATCAGCACTTATTTCACTACAGGGTAATCCAGCATTGGAGGCACTCTTTAAGATTTCTTTAAATGAAATGCGGAACGACGTGGGCTCATTCCTAATGAGAACAATATATTCTAGCTGCTCCTTACCCTTTGGCCACAGTAGAATAACCAAAGTAACAACTGTAGACTTTGATTAGGAGGGACCACCACTCCTGTGAAGGAGTGCGAGGGGGACGTGAACTGGCCTACAGCCAAAATACATTCACTACAAAGCAGTCACTGTTTGGACTTATGGTAATATTAGTCCAAGAATTCTTTTGGGGTTCAACTTCTCCCATTTTTTTTCTTCTTTAAAGCCAAAATTATAACCGTTATGAGCTTACGGGAAGAAAAAATGCTTGGAGGTGCTCCGGAGTGCTAAACAGCTCTTTGCAGTTAGCTAATGGTTGTTCTACAAATATTTAAGATTACAAGGGACTGTTAAAGCTGCAGAGGTGTCAGGAACATTTTGTCTGATAACTGCGCCATCAGCTCAAAGTCTCTGGATGTTTTGTGAAAGGATTAACTTTCCAAAAAATATCCCTTCACTGATCCAATATCTTCTATAGTTAAGATGTGTAAATGCCATAGTATGCAATACACAGTATTTCAATACTTTTTAAACCATTCAGTGACCCCTCGTGCCCTTCAGATGGATGTAGACTACGCCCATCAGAATCAGGAAATGCTACATTGTAAGATGAAAGCAATCACTAAACAGCTTGTTGTGGAGTGATGCTTCAAAGAGGAAAAGCATGCCAGCCACATGGCCACAAGAGAGTAACGGCCACCTCGATACTGAGGTTTAAGAGCTCAGGCAATTCTCTTAATTTGTCACCTGTCTGTAACTTTACGTCCCATTTGACTTGGAAAATTAAGTCAGAGCTGCTTTCATGAAAGATTAAGAGCACAGATTAGTGGAAACCAGAGAAAATGTCTGGGGGGGGAAAAAGGGAAACAAACCCGTACGTATATTAAACCATAAACAAAATGAAAGATTGGTGAAACTTCCTGATAAATTAAAACATAAATTCATGAAAGATGAAAAATGAAAATCGTCGAACTAAATTTTTAGATTGAAGTGGGAACGGTCTTTCATCAGTCACTTAAACGATCATTTTCTAAACGTCCTCATGACGGAGCTCTCTCTGCTCCATCACGTCTGGATCTCTGTGTTTACACTGAAACCGAGCTGAATCAGAGATGTCACCCCTGCGCTGACATGTGTAAACCATGAGCTCAGTATGATGATAACCTTTGTCTAAACTCCCAGTAAACCTTTGGCATTTATTGTCATCATCTTCATCAGCATTGTCATCATCAGCCATACATGGCTAATTAATGTTAATGTTTTTAGCCTTTCATTTTTTTTATCTCTGTTGTTTGGAAAGCTTAACCAGCGCCTGAGGTTTTGATTTTTCTGGAACTTTAGAACTTAGGCCTGTTCTTTAACTGTCTGGGTGGAGGATTAAAATCCACAATACATGTCTATCTATGCATCCTCATTTTTGTCATCTCAAAGCTGTGCTTGGAAATGATCTAATTTAAACTGATCGGATCAATAGTTGATGAAATGACTGTGAAAACCCACAGAGAATGATGACCTGAGGCTGTGGAGCCATTGGCATCTTTCTGCTCATCTTCCAGTTTTGATTTTATGGTCGCAACTTTAACATTTTTGTCATGTGGAGTTTCACTAAAGAAAGAAGTCGAAGAGGAATAAAGTCTTACAGTTATTATTTGGAAGTTACCCAAAGACATGATTGCAACCAATGCATATGTTGCCCTGTCTGTCCCGTGTCATGTGTGCAAAGTGGATACGGACAGACTTTTAGTGAAGCTGGGAAGGCATTGGGGTTTTTTTCTACCCTGCTCCTCCTCGTCTTTTAGCTGCTTCCTATAGGGGTCACCACAGCGGATCGTCATTAAAGCTAATGAAACACCATAAAACCAGCCAGAGTGGAAGCTAAAAGCAAATAGAGCAAACTGTCTCGAGTGCTTACATGCTGGATTCCATATTAGATGACGACCCCACAAGGTGCACTTTTCAGTTTCGCTACCTCTGAGTAGTTTACATGAAAAACGCCAACTTGTGTGCAAATATTCACAAATTACTGGCAACCAAATCTGCTAGCGACCAAAGCAGCTGGAAGGAGCTTTTCATGGTGGACCTTTTTAATGATAGCGATTGCACGTAACCTTAAGTAAATATTTGCCAACTGGTCGCAGAATACACGCTTTTCTCTCCCAACCAGTGGTTGCCAGCAGGTTGTTATTGTTGTTATTGTATTTTAAATGTCATTGTAATTTTGCTGTTGACTTCTGCGAAAACTGCAGGTTATTGTTCTTTCAGGCTGTGGCGTTTCCCATCATGTAATTGTAGGAGGCTTGACCCAGACAGACACACAGCCAGACCTTATAAGAGAGTCTTGAAGCTCTCCACTTTTTTTCATTCTCTCTCATAGGTCTCTTCCTCCACCCTGTGCCTCCTTTCTCTATATATTCCTTCTCCTTTTATCCCTAACTATCCCACTGGACTGAATTCTTATAGCACAGCGGGACAGAAGACTGACCACCATGGCTTAACACATGCTCCATTGTTGTACACTTGAACACCCACATGTATAGACACTGGGGATATAGTAACCCTAAACTTAACATACAGTTTTGTCTGGCACTGTTGGAAAATGTGCTGTTTAATATGCCTCCTCCCACCACTTATCCTCGTGTTTCATCTGTGATGTTGTATCTTTCTGAACATGTCCTTTCCTTTGATTATCCTGCAGTCATGGACACACAACATATCCAAGGAAAAGGAGTTCCTTCGTAAGCTGGTGAAGGCAAACGTCATCAAAGATCTGACCAATGGTATCTAAGTTTACACCCGCCCACAGTCTCCCTCCGCCATTCCCAAAAGACTACTAGCAGGAAGCTGGGAAATGGATTGACTTTTTGAAGAAGGAAAAAAAAAAACCCTCGAGTCCGGGTGGCCTGCACACTGCCGGGGTTTTTATATCAAAGGATATTTAAAAAAGAATAAAATACAGGAGGGATTCTGTGGAGAGACGCGCACACACGTGCCTTCTGAACCAAAGACTCTTGCTGATTGAAGCGGGGGGAAACGAGCATGGGGGGAGCACTGGATCTGCATAGTTTTGCGTCTTATCAAAAGACATTCGCAGGAACGCTCCGCCGGCCCCACACTGCAGTGTTTACCACTTCAAAGCCCCGAGTATTACATGAATGAACAGTAAGAGCAGAGGTGACACTTTATGACCCACAGAAGTCAGAGTTTAGCTTGATGTTCCGGTCAGTCTGGTGAAGAGACAGAAGACAAAGGGATGGAGAAGGACTATTAGAATGTGTGGGGATGGTTGAATATTAGCAGTGCCAAATGTACCTCGTAGAGAGAAGAGGCCACCCCCCTCTCCTTCTGCTGCCTGAATGTATTCTTGTTCCTCATTGTAAATATCAAAAATAATTTTTACTGTGCTTTTTAAAGCGCTGCAGCAGCTGCCCTGATCCTCGTCTGTCACTACTTCATTCATTCATTTTTTTCCCCCCATTCTGTCCTGACTTAAAAACTAACACGTGCTCCACCAGATGATCCCTGACACCCCCCACCTGTCACAAAGACTGGTGTTGCTTTGACACACTAATATAAGCTTGCGGCTCCTCATGCTGTTTGCATCAGGTAAGAAGCCACCAAAAAGCTAAATATTAATGAAGACTGAAGCTCTTTGAGGTATTTAAAATTGAAGTTTATGTGAGGTATTTTAAAACTCTACATCTTCTTTTTTTCAATAAAGATGCTATCTTTTGTAGTTTTTAAAGTTGACCACCTGTAAGCGAGAAAGTAAGACACTGCAGTCTCCTCTTACTTAATCCTATCTTTGTTCATGAGACATAAAGTGATCCAGGGTGTTTTATGGCATCCCTTTTCCATTCTCCTGTTGCTGCAGAGGTTTTGTTCTTCACTAAATGGTGAACTCTTAGATTGTGGAATATATATTATTGTTTTTTGTTTATTTATTTTGTTCCAAAGTCCCAGTGTTTTGGTCACAGGCAGGCCTGCTTTCTGTTCTAAACAAAAGTGTGCATTTGTGCTTTAAACTTCAGCACCATGTGCTTCCCCAGAGACTGCAGCATCATCTAGGCTTGTGGCAGAAGTAACCGTGCGACTGAATCTGCTTTAAACTGGATGGGTGTTAAATGTCTGCACCTCTTCATTTTCTTTGTTTTATGCAGCGTTTGTTAACACAACACATGTGACCTTCTGTGACAGCGGGCGTTAAGAAAGAAAGGAAAAAAAAAAGTTCCACAGGTGATAAATGCCACCTTCAGTTTGAAATTAATGTGCTGCTGAGGCCTTTGCACTTCTCACATGGAGATCCTGTTGCAGGCTTCTCTGTATTTTAACATTGAACATATTCGTGATCTCACACACACTCACACACACACACACACACTCACACACACACACACACACACACACACACGCGCGCGCACACAATCTCCTTCAAACAGTGAGGGAGAGCGAGAAGATGCATATGTTCATCATATTATATGAATGCGATAATCAGCTTTATATAGTGATGGTGCATTTTAAAAACTGCTTTACCAAAGCAGGGTTTATTTTACTTTTTTTGTGAATAGGGTTTTCTCCAGTTTTCTGTCTTTTTAACTCTTCTATTGGAAGTGTAGATTGTATACACATACACACACGCGCGTGATGCATTGCTATTTTTGTTTCCTTCATGCTCATTAGTTTCCACACGCTGCCAGGGTCGTGCATCGTCACGCCATGCACAGTTCCTTTCGGAATGGTTCTCCTGGGTTTGAAAATGGATACTTTTTTCTTTTTTGGAAAACTGGGCCCCGTTTGGGCCTTTGTCTGAGAGCAAAAGGTACAGGGAACATCTGAGCATTGCACTATCATGAGGCACTGTCAGTGCCTTACACCTCATCACCTGGAAGCTGTAGCGAGGAGTGTGACTGCTGTGAAAGAGAACAAAGGCAGCTGATTCCGGTATGTAGGCGCAGCTCCAGCTCCGGGTCAGGACAGGTCTCATTCCTGGGGTTTGGGACCGGTCCACTTCATGTATGTACTGTATGTACATTGTATACAATCCAAGGTCAAGTTGAAGCCCTATACTGTTTTGTGTTTTGTGTTTTAGGGGGAAATGATGTATATATTGTACTTTAATAAACAAGATGGCTACTTACATTAAATCATTTGAAAACTATGATTTAAAAAAAAAAAAATCAAATATTTGCTGTTTGAACCCTAAAACACAGAAAACTACTAGTATAGTCTTCAAAGCTACCAGTCTAAGCAGATCCTTAATTGGAAAGGAGCCCATTTCTGTCTTACTTTTTAGGATTTTAATTTTTAAACGAATGCTGGATAAGTTCACATGTGTTACGTCCAAATTGCCTTTTTTCTTTTCTTCTAATCTGTTCAAAATAAAGCAGAATGTATTTGCTTTTGTTGTTCGTGGTATTTATAAATCTTTAATTTTGAAGCATTAACAGGAGGTCAAAGTGATTGAACGTGTTAATTCTTTTTTTTACACACACGCGCACACACACACACACACAGTTACAAAAGGCTTTCTGTTACCTAATAAAAAGGTTTGTAATGGAACTTTGTGCGTGTGGTCTTTTCATTTTATTGTAAATGACCTTATTGGAGACATGCATGAGTGTCCAAACTGATTGTTTGTGCAGGAAATTAATTTGATGTGGTTGGTCCACCTTCTGCTTTTAATCTAGCTTTTATCACAAAGTGCCAGCTCTGGGCTCAAATATGTCTGCGGCGTGGCCCTCGGTGTCTTAGTCTGGCATGCTGATAGTGGAGCAGTCCTCATGAAATGTGCAGCAGGTTGGAACACAGTCTGCCTCCTCCCGTTTCAGGGGATACAGAGTGCAGGAAACCCAGTGGAGATGAAGGAGGGATGAGATGGAGCAGTGCGGAGAAGGGGATTTCCTCCGCTGATCTGTGCTCTGTATCTCCAACCTGCAGAGCCAGGGGAAATCATTTTTCAATCCTCCAGCGACCAGGCTTCCTCTCTAATTCACTCCTTTTTCTCTTGTGTGTTTATCTCGCTCCCTCTGTTACTCGTTTCCCATGTTGTGCTCTGCTGCACTGTTCACTTCTCCCTCTTCACCTGCTCGTTGCTAACAGGGATCAAATTTCACTGGAAGTCACGAGGGACTCATTTGAGACACACAATGAATACACGGTACTATTCAGCTGCCGCACACAAACTTTCACTTCCCTACAAACGTGATCATAAACCACAGCTGTGAGGTGAAGGAAGACAAGACGCCGAGGGCCCTTAAAGCGCCTCCACAGCGTCCCATCCCATCCTGCTGTTAATGGGGTGCCAGAAACTTGCCCCCCCCCCCCCCCCCCCTTACACACACACACAAGTCACGTCTCACTGGTCACCGCAACCGCAGAACTCGAGCTACCCTGACTCGACAAATTTCCAGACGTCCACAAGGGTGGGGTCGAGTGCTCTCTCCCTCCCTGCAGCAAGGGGAATATTTGCCACCTGGGATCTCCCCGAGGCAGCTGGCCGGCCCGGCTGGCTGGAGGCGGCTGCTTTCGCTGGTCCGGTAGACAGGGTATGAGCAGGCCTGCACCTCTTCAGCCGACGGACTTTTTATTCTGAGCGACAGGTTCCCCCTGGCCCCACCTCCTCTCTGAAGGCTTGGAACAGAGAGGCCACGACCTCTGAGCCTGAAATTCAAACTCCTCGTAAAAAGAAAGTTGGAGAGGGTGAAAACACCCATTCAGACACCCGTTTCTCTCTTCCCCTGCTCTGTTTAGCTAATGCCGGGTCAGCTGAGATGAACATTCCCACACAGTGTCGTTTACCTTTGTCTGTGGATCGGACACACCTACAGGGCCTGTCATGCTCCTGTAATGCAGATGGATGTGTCTTCCTTTCCCGTCGGCATCTGAACTTGTCCTCTGCTGTGGCCCATTCTAGATCAGCTGAAAGTTGATACGTATTGGATTATGGATGGAAAGATGTATATGTATATATTTTAATGGATATTTTATTCTCAGAGGAAAATAAATATATATTATTAGTAGTATTTCCTGGCCCGATTCTTGATTATCCAAAGCAATAAACAAAACCTTGTGTGCATAGACGTTTGACTATTGATTGATTTGATTCCTTAGCTCATCCCTTCAGCTGTGCCTCGAGAGATAGAACTGAAGCCACTGACACTGTGAAGTTTCACCGCTGTTTACTCTGCGCACGCTCCATCCATCCATAATAGCAGCCCCAATCAAGCCACATGCCGACGCTTTGCTTTATGATTTGTTTGTATGAACAATGATACAACAAATCTGGTGGACGCCTGCAGGAATGCAGCTTTGAAATGCTGGGATGAGGCGGTAATTACTGGAGATTTATCAGCGCCGTGTGTACACTTGTTGAGCTAATGTGGAAACGGGGTGCTGTGCAATCTGCTGTTTTGCTGCTCTCCGAGCTTCATTGTGCTCTCTCTCTCTCTCACAGGTGTGGCCTGGGGGCTTTAAAGTCAGAGTATTGGAAGAGAGGAGTTCCCACTTGAAAAGTGAAAACAAATTTAAATGTGGGAAGAAGCCCAAGAAAAGAGAGTCACCTTTTGGATAAAGAAAGGACAAATGGGCGACAGGGGCAGTGACCTGTGCCTCCAGAAGAGACCAGAGAAACGTTGGAGAGAATACAAAAATATACTCCGAGTCTCCTTCACATGACAGCACTCTTCTCTCTCCCCTCTGTCTCCCAAAAAGTGATTTCCAATGCTTCTCTGTGTTTTCTATGTGTAATACCTTTGCTTATATTGCTAAGTAGACTGCAGTCAACAGGAATTAAGAAGGGATTATATATAAAATAAAGAAATGACCTGTTTTGCAAGTATCTCTATAACCTACATTACAATCAATCCAGTCCAATACCTCGATAGAACTGTTAGTTGCAATTTCTGCTTCCCTCTCGGCCAGATCTCTCTTAAAAAAAAGACATTTTAATGTCAATGACACTTATTTTACCTGCATAAATAAAGGGTATATGAAATTGATGTCGCCAAATATTTATTCCAGCTGTTACCTTGTAATCGGAATGATCTTTCTTGCTCAAAATGGCTTGAAATTATAGGTCAACAAGCCATTTGCGGTAGTTCAAATACATGCAATCACTTTTTGCAGTAATTCAGTGCCTGCGTTTGTGTTTGTGTTTGTATGGCCTGGAAATGTGTGTGTTTTGCTTGCATGGGGTTTAACTGTAGGTGTACAAACAGTGTCATGCTGTAATTCCCTTTAACAATACTGAACAAGTTCATCGCCATAGCTCACAATGATGGATGATGTGGACACACTCGTTAGATTTGGATTTGTCGTGCCCTCTGCTCAAACTGCCACCTGCTTGCGGCCTCATTTGAAGTGGTGCCTGGCTCTACCAAGGAGGGAAACTTACATAATTTGGCAGATAGAGATGATATGTGTGAAAACTGCTTCAGGCATACTGAAGGAATCAAACAAAGTTCAGTTTTGACATCTCTAAACGCTTGTTTTGACATCTTTGATTCATCAGTAAGTCCCAAATATTCCAGAATTTTATGATCCTGGCGGGTCTACCTTTTCTCCTGTTGTTGCTGAGCTCATCTTTCTTATCTGATGGTACATTCCTGCATGTCAGGCACCTCAGCTGTGCGCTTTGTTGCCTTGTTGGTTGCTACTATTAATAGTACTTTGGCATAGACCAGGGAACCTCCCTGCATTTGTCTCTGCCTCAGCAGAGTGGGCCTGCAGAGGACAGCTATTTACCCAGTCTTTGTGCTCAGCGGGCCTCAGTGTTTGCCCTGCAGGGAGTGCCTCTGCTTGAGGGCCTTTTCGTGTGAATGTGGGTGGGTGGGTGGAGTGGGGTAACAGAGAAGAATGGGATAAACCCTATAGGATGGAGAAGGAGTGGGAAAGGTGCTTGATTTGGATTGCAGTGATCAGGGGTCTGGGGACTGTCACATGCCCATCCTTCAAATAACAAGCCCAGGCCAGGGTAGGACATTTAACATCTGAGGGCATGAGTGAGTGTGTGTACATAATGACGTCCCGTGGGTGCATGTGTGCATGGAAAGATGACAGAAGACTACAGAGGCACAAAGGGTCAGGGAAAGGACCCAACAAGGGATGCAGAAATAGTGCAGGGCCAAAGTCTTTCGGGCCGACCGTCATTTGGGGTCCCAAATGGATCACAACTCACCTATGCATGTCTCAGTGTGCGCATTCACGTGGGATATACTGAAATTCTCGACATTTATCAGTCCCGGTGTGTAAACAATGAAGGCCAAGAATCTTCCACTGGAACAGTTTTCTAGAAACGCTCCGTGTCCATCCCATATGACAGTCTCCCCCCACTCTCCCTCCCTCCCTCCCTGCTCCCAGCGCAGGAACAAAAAGACATCTGAGCCATGCAGATGAGGAACAAAACTCCGAGCACTTTGTGCAGCCGCCACTGCGCTCCAGTTTCACAAAGTCTCTGACAGGGGGAGCGGCGCGCTGTTTTTACGCATAGCCTCCAGTCCAGCAGCCTATTGTAGACATTGTAAAGTAGCCGCGTAGTACATTTGTGGAGAGGACACAGCTCTGATAAATGGATACCTGAGTCCAGAGTAGAATAGCTTTTACCAAGAGAAAAAACAAGATATGCGCTTTTTGGAGACGCTGCGTAAATGCGTGACGCATGGACTTTTTTCTTTTTATTTTGACCGACAGAGGAGAGGTTTTCTCCGTTTTAACTTCAAATTTCAAATCAAATCAAATCAATCAAGCCAACAGATCCACAAAAAGAAGACAAAAGGGCTTTCCATGTGATTTTTTTAACCAAACCGTGACCGCACAGTCTATTCCCGGACGTTTTGTCGTAAAAGAGACGCAAATCGTGCTTTGAAAACTTATTTAGTCATTAACCATAAGAGCTGTTTGGAGACAAGACCGAACAGGTTACTAGAGGTAAGAAGCGGAGAGTCATGCCTGGAAAAACTGGCTTCTTTTCATTAAACGCTGGTTTGACGTGTCAGCGGAGACGTAGTACAAGAAGCAGATTGAGGGCAAACATTTCTTGCACTTCTGACTGTTTGACCGACTCTCCTCGCTTTCTCTTTCTCCGTGTTGAATTGTTTGTGTCACCGCAAACAAACTCCCCGCTAATTAGATTTTATATAGGCAGTAACCTGCCAACACCAGTTAGCTGTAGAGTTTTATTTTCTTCGTCCTGGGTAGATGTAACCGCCTGCAAAATGTCTTTCTTGACAAGTCATTCGGTCTCGTATTTCAGACCAGAATATCGTTTCCTTTAGACAGCTTCAGATATTTTTGAGAGGGCTTGTAGAAACAAATATCTTGAAGTTTAAAAAATGTTGATTTTTTTTCATCACAAATAATACAGAGTAACAAAATAATGGTAACAAAAAGATGGGAAACTGCCCCATCCTTTGGTTATATTTAATTCATAGTTCAGTCAGACTTGAGAGCCATATAAAACACAATGAACTAACTTAACTCACTGGTTATTACTGTGTATTTACCATCCACTGTCTCTGTTCTTGTTCAGGGTGCTGAGGCTCTACAAGAAGGACTCCGGCCAT